GTAACGTTCAGTGACAAGGGATCTCTAAGTAACGTTCAGTGACAAGGGATCTTTTAGTATTTAAAAGTCTCATTAAAACTTTTACAATTAACTTGAAACAGTTTATTATTGTCATTATAATATAAGTTTGTAATACAGAAATGTTATCTTTTTTTCCATTATTTTCTGATCATTTAGGGAGAACATATAATGACTTAAACCAGTACCCAGTGTTTCCTTGGATTCTCACCAACTACGAGTCACCAGAGCTGGATCTTAGCCTTCCGAGTAACTACAGAGATTTGTCCAGGGTATGCTATGTTTATCATAACACAAACATATTCACCATACATTGTTCATCATAACACAAACGTCTTCATCATGCTTTGTTTATCATAACACAAACATGTTCAACATGCTTTGTTTATCACAACACAAACATGTTCACCATGTAAACAGTTAAAAGAAGTACAATACTAAAATAATTATACAATAAATAATTTATTAAAGCAGGACCCAGCCCTAAAATGACACTACAGGTTTCATTGTTCTTACATCACCATCTGAAGATGTTTAATAAATTATTTATTGTGTAATTATATTAGTGTTGTACTCCTTTTAACTGTATATATGTGTGTGTATATATATTGCACAAGTGCCCTTTTAAGTTGTATTTGTGTTCACCACGCTTTATCATCACAACACAAACATTTTCACCATGCTTTGCTTATCGCAATACAAAAATATATTTATTACAACAGCAAACATGTTCACTAATAACAAAACAAGTGAAATTATGTTATGGAGTTTTGTTTGATAACATGGCAACTTGCCTTTCACGGTGTGTTTCTAAGTATATTGCTTCACATATATGTGGATCACGGTGTGTTTCTAAGTATATTGCTGTGTATATATGTGGATCACGGTGTGTTTCTAAGTATATTGCTGCATATATATATGTGGATCACGGTGCATTTCTAAGTATATCGCTGCGTATATATGTGGATCACGGTGTGTTTCTAAGTATACCACTGTGTATATATGTGGATCACAGTGTGTTTCTAAGTGTATCACTGTGTATATATGTTGGTCACGGTGTGGCTTCACTTTTTGTGTAAAATTGTTATTGTTTTAAGTAAGTGTCATTCAACTATAATTCAAGAGTGTATGCTTTGTTTAACTATGATCTTTGTCACTAAGTTTGACAACTTTGTGTTTATTGTTTCATGTTTATTTCATAATGTGGATACATGTGGTTATTTTTCATGTCTTTATATAGCCTATTGGAGCTCTAAACCCAAGTAGAAGAACTTACTATGAAGAAAGGTATCGAACCTGGGATCATGACAACATTCCTCCCTATCATTATGGGACACACTATTCTAATGCTGCTTATACGTTGAACTGGTTGGTCAGGCTGGTATGTGTTTAAGTTTATTTTTTCTTCAATCTTTCATAGTTGTTTTCAGTAATTATATATTTATTTATTAAATAATGATCTTTTTTAAGTATTTTGTTTTCATCTGTTTTTCTACTGAACTCCATGTATGTACTTTGTCCAGTAATGTAAACGTGTGTTTGTTTAATTGTCTGTTTGTGTCTGTGTGTGCATGTCTGTATTATTTTCTCTGCCATCCTACCATTGTTTGCATGCTTGAGTCTATCTCTGTGAGTGTGTCTTTGTTTCTGTCTCTGAGGTTTTGATGCTAATGTATATCTTCAGACATAACCTGACTTGTGGTAAAAGAAAACTTGATTTTTTTTTACATCATTCACTTTGCCTTAATCTTGCTTGTTGTAAAACAAAACTTTACTGTTTTGCTTCCATTTGCCTTGTCATTTGTGCAACAAGCCTGAGAATTGTAACACAGCAGTGGAAATAGCACCCACAGAAACTGTAATGAGATTTCTTGCTATTAAGTCTTTCCAGTATACTGCTTAGAGATCCCACGTGTGACATTACATAAAAATCTAACATATTACTAAGTGTTACTTAGAGATCCCACATTGAAAAACATTATGGAAAGATCTGACATGTAACTGAACATTATTTAGTGATCCCATGTATCACTAAATGTTACTGGGAGATCTTGCGTGTCACCGAACATTACTTAAAGATCTCACATGTCAATAAATGTTACATAGAGATCTTACGTGTCACTAAATGTTACATAGAGATCTCATGTGTCACTAAATGTTACGTAGAGATCTGACGTGTCACTAAATGTTACATAGAGATCTTACGTGTCACTAAATGTTACATAGAGATCTCACGTGTCACTAAATGTTACATAGAGATCTCACGTGTCACTAAATGTTACATGGAGATCTCACGTGTCACTAAATGTTACATGGAGATCTCACGTGTCACTAAATGTTACATGGAGATCTCACGTGTCACTAAATGTTACATGGAGATCTCACGTGTCACTAAATGTTACATGGAGATCTCACTTGTCACTAAATGTTACATGGAGATCTCACTTGTCACTAAATGTTACATAGAGATCTCACGTGTCACTAAATGTTACATGGAGATCTCACGTGTCACTAAATGTTACATGGAGATCTCACGTGTCACTAAATGTTACATGGAGATCTCACGTGTCACTAAATGTTACATAGAGATCTCACGTGTCACTAAATGTTACATAGAGATCTCACGTGTCAATAAATGTTACTTGGAGATCTCACGTGTCACTAAATGTTACTTGGAGATCCCACATGTCACTAAACATTCCTTAGAGATCCCTTGTCACTGAACGTTACTTAGAGATCCCTTGTCACTAAATGTTACTTGGAGTAAGAGCTTTAAAAACTTTGCATGGCCAGCATGAGGTTCACTTGACCTAATCTAAACAAATCTGTATCTGTATTCAGGAACCTCATCAATTAATAGTAAGAGCTTTAAAAACTTTGCATGGCCAGCAGGAGGTTCACTTGACCTAATCTAAACAAATCTGTATCTGTATTCAGGATCCTCATCAATTAATAGTAACAGCTTTAAAAACTTTGCATTGCCAGCAGGAGGTTCACTTGACCTAATCTGCAATTACCTGCAACTGTATTCAGAAACATCAAATAGTCAAAATTTGAAATCTCTCTTCGCTGCCACTTCTGAGTCATGTTTGACTGATGTAGAATTTGTCTTGGAGTCATAAGGGAAGCTTTCCTACAATAGAAACAAAGAACCATAAGAATAGTATTTTTCTTTATAAAAAAAACTATCATACTCAAAAATTATCTTTGTGGGAAAAATAAAATCTTAAGATAAATTTTCCTGTGAGAGAAAACAAAAAGAAAATATACAATAACATTCCAGAAAATTTAAAATATCAACTGTGCATAATAAAACAACAACCACATTAGGCATATATACTGTCCATCATGGGATACTTCATACATATATATATATATATATATATATATATCTGT